CTTTTCTGTAATAAGAAATGGAATCAAATGAGAAGTCTCTTCATTTATGCTTCTTGTGAAGGATTGTTGCAAAGCACTATTTTGGAGAGTGTAGGGTGCATTTGGTTCAATCGTTCAGAGGCAAAGGATCGGGAAATTGTAGCAAAGAAGTAAGTATAAACAGAAAGTGCATAGGAGCATTTTTTTACACCATCGTCCATGTCATTGTTATATGAACTAGTACAGTTCCTTTTTTCAGATTAAGGGAACATGTAATTGGGGCAGACAATAACCCTCTCCTTATATTTCCTGAAGGAACGTGTGTAAACAATCACTACACTGTTATGTTTAAGAAGGTAACTGTATTCTAGTTTAAATTTTGTTCATTTTAAGTTTAATATTCACGACTAGTATATATTTATTGCTTGGTATTTTTTATTTACTAACTTTCAATTTCTATACTGCCTAGGGTGCATTTGAGCTTGGCTGCTCAGTTTGCCCCGTTGCAATCAAGTACAACAAAATTTTCGTTGATGCTTTTGGAATAGCAAAAAGTAAGGAGCGGATTCTATCTTTGGACATTCTAAATATTGAGTTCCTTATTTGACTTGTGGGTTTGCTTGAAAGTTTGTCTACTTCACCTTGCACACTATTTGAATGCTTAAAATGTTCTATGATGCTTAACCATAGTCCTTATACTCTAGATTCCATTCCATGGGACTTGGCCATTGGTTAAGCTTAGATCCGTAATTTAGGGAACATTAACCAAGGTGTTGGGGCCTTGGGGATGTTGTGATACCAGAAGGATTTATATGATATGTTTGTGTTGCAGGCAGTCCTTCACAATGCATCTGCTACAACTTATGACGTCGTGGGCTGTTGTTTGTGATGTGTGGTATTTGGAGCCCCAAAACATAAGGCCTGGGGAGACCCCCATTGAATTTGCCGAGAGGTAAATGGTCTTTCTTCGACTTGTAATCTGGAACAGTATGCTTCCCCACCCTCGTTATGGTCTTGTTTATCTCCACTATTTTTGGATGCTTTTATGCAGGGTCAGGGAAATAATTTCTGTTCGAGCAGGACTGAAGATGGTTCCGTGGGACGGGTATCTGAAATACTCTCGGCCCAGCCCAAAGCACAGAGAGAGAAAGTAAATCAAACTTAAATTTCCTTTTTTTTTTTTTTTTTTCTTCGTCTTCATTGATTCTTCTAAATTGTTTTACTGTTTTTGTATACATAAGGCAAGGTCATACAAATGTGAAAAGAAAAAGAAGATTATACGCATGTAGTTCACAATCTTGTGGCTTATTGGTCGTTATCTGTTTGCAGGCAACAATGCTTTGCTGAGTCTATGCTCCGACTCCTAGAGGAAAAGTGAAGTATGTTTTTCTTAGTCGATTTATTTTAAGCACGCAATGCACTCAATTTCCTCTTCATAAGCGTAACTGGTTACGATGCCTGAAAGGAAGCTGCCTTTTCTATAAAACAAGTAAATGAATTACTTATCTCAATACCAAGTTGTTTCTTGAATACAAATGATGTATGAAGCTTGATTTCCCTGGTGTTTGCTCGAAGTTTTGTAGAAACTTGTCATTAGTTGAAAACGTCGCACCCTAATTTTCGTTTGTCAGTAATTGATGAAAAGATGCCTTGATCTTTGATCTTAACATGAATGTACATTTTCATCTATTTATTCCCAAGTGCTGTGTTGCAAAATTGAATCTCCACTTCGGCAATTGAACCCAAAGCAAAGGGTTTATGGTGCGGGTTGTAGAACTCGTTGCATTACTGAAAACTATTTCCGGCCCTCCGTCGAGGGCTTGTTCTCGGTTTCAAGTTAAGGTCGAAATGAAAACTAATTCATGAGCCATGACCGAGATGGTCCAACATGCCAGGAAGCATGGATAATTTGGTGGCAAACAGATGAAACCCACGGATAAGTTATCGTTATTGTTCACGTTTTCCCGTTACCAAAAAAGGAGAAATTAAAATTCGGCTTTAGCCACCAATGTTTCTTGACTGAAACCTATTGGTTTTCAAGGGATGAAAGCCTCAAAGGTTCCAAAAATGAAATGAGGAAACGAACTAAAGTAGGTGATCCAAAGAAACGGAATATTCTTATAAAACAAAACAAATATCCTCATTTTTCATGGAATGTGAGAGCCTTGACTTGCGTTTGATGACATCCAATTCACACGTGACAAAGAAAGCATTCTAAAAAGGGCATTAGAAAGATTTTAGAGCTCTCACAAGTCATAAACCTTCTTGTACCTTGTGTTCCTTGTTATTGAAAGTGAAATGATTTCCATTTTCCGATCACCTTTTCTCTTCATGCACACCTCTAATCAAGAGCATTGGTAAGAAAAAAAAAAAAGGTGTGCGCAAATTATTTCTGGTGGAAAACTTACAAAGCAAACAACGGAAAACAAGTCAAAATGAAAGTTTTCTTTCTTGTTTATTGGTCCGCCGTGAATAAAACGGGGTTTATTATTTGATGGAGAATTTGGTCTTCCTTATCAAATGAACCACTCGACGCCCCCTTACTGGTTTCTAATAACACCTACGTCTTTACTGCCACCAATTGCGTGAAGTGCCAAGGCAGTTCTGCAAACAATTGGACGTAAGTGCGTTTCTCACTAGTTTGTTGTATTAGTTTTCCTTTCCCATTGGTGGACTCTCACAATCTATGGAAATTTTCATATCTGCACTGCTTACAATGCGAGCCATCCACCATTAACTCAACGGCATGCCCTGCGATGCAATGCGAGGCTTCGAGTCTGACCAGTCAGCTATTCCTTGGCAACAGCATATCTTCCGGTTGCAATCAAACAACTGTGCCTATGCTGGTTATACTAACCAGACCAAGATTCTTACAACCTTGGTCACCCAGTCCACTTGTGCAGGTAAGCTCGCTTTACACTTGTACACATAGAACCAGTGTGGCCGTTTGGCTTTTCACACGTAGGACATCATGTTCTAATACCATGAAGAAAGTTGAGGTTTCACCATAAAATCAATTGGCAAAATATAGGGAGTAGTTCAACCTCTTAAAAGCCCACGCAATTTGGGACTTATTCTTAACACGCTTCATTTCTTCATGGTGTCAGAGTCAGGGAGTGGGCCGGTAATGTCACATGATGGTTGGGTCCCCTTGGCCTTGCACGAATATAGTGGGTTCCTTGGCCCCGCATGTAGGATGAGTCTCATTGGCTCAACGTGGTTGTTAATGTGTATATCTACCACGTGTGGCTTTCTAATTGGATCCCACGTGAGAGGGTGTGTTGAAATATCCCACATTGACTACTAAGAAAAGAAAAGTTTAAATATCTTAACCCCATTCCAACTAATACTGAAGTCTTTTGTGTTAAAACCCCACACCTTACCAAGTTAGGAACTATCAGTTCGGTTGGAAGTGGCCTTTGGTTGTCTCGGAGTTGGGACCAGATTCGATGTTGATATGAATTGACAAATACCAAATGACTAGAAGAGAAGAAATGTCATACACAGCACCGACATCTGCGTTGTGTAATTTTATCAGCAATTACGTGTTTAGCGGTTTAAAATTGCCTATGATGATTTAGTTGGACATCAACTAAACAGTGGTTATCATCAATATTTAAAATTTTGGTATCGGTAAAAATATCGATATGCAAATTTGTGAAAATATCAATGGATATATCAAATATCGATATCGATATCAATTGCTTTCGATGGAAATGGTGGGAATTTAAAATGTAACTTTAGGGATTGTCAAACATTGGTTTGGATGCAATACAATAGTTTCTCCGATGTTTAATAGATTTGTTATAAAATATCGACAATATATGTTGATTTTAACCTAAAATTAAGAGTTTCTCTGATATAAAATGAAGTTTTAAACTTTCCCTCATTTCTATATCTTTCTTTGATTTTTTGAATATTTTTATAGAAATATCGACATTGTCGAAAAAAATTTAAACATTGGTTATCATCAACTCGAATTAATTGGCATTTTTACTTTGTTGGCAAACAGCTCCCTAGTCCCGATAATAAAAACAACGCTTCAAAGATGAGTTTGCAAGTCACTTTCTAGTGACAGATGAATTGGCAGTAAAGTTGCCAAGTCACTAGATTTTTCTTTATTTTTCTAATTTATATCTTGCAAACTCAAATTGGCAATAAAGTTACCAATCATTTCTGATCGGTTGACCTTGTGATCTCCCCCTCCCAACCCTGTGACAAAGATCAATGTTGATGCAAGCTAGAAGAGTGGTGCGTCTACGGCTTGGGTGGGTTTGGTGGTTCGGGAATTTGATTCTAGGTGTACTGCGGTCAAAAGGGTTCAGGTTTTGGCTTCTGGTGCAGCTGTGGCCGAATCTTTGGCAGTTTTGGAGGGGTGCTGTTTGGCAAAGGAGTTGAATCTTACTCGGGTGGTGATTGAGTTGGATTCGAAGAGTATTATTACCTGTTTGAATGATTGCTCGATGAGGTGTGATTGGGAAATCTTCCCAATTCTTAGCCGTATTCGTGCGATGGGGAAGACTTTCCAATCCTGCTCCTGGTCTTGGGTTGCAAGATCAGCAAATGCTGCGGCGGACTTCGTTGCTTCTAACTTCACACCAGAGATGCGTGACTTAGTTTGGGTCGAAAGACCCCCATTTTCTTTTGTGAGAATTCTGAACAAGGATGGGCTCTCTTGTCCCCGTCTGTGTAATTTTTGCTTTGGTTGTGGGATGACGTTTCTGCCATTTGTGGCTGCGTCTTTGTGTATCCCGTCTTTCTATTGCTTGTTCTGTCTCTTTGTTAGCCTTTGTTGGCTTTCGTTGTTCTTACTGCCCGTTGTGCCCTGGTTAATTCCAATTTCTGTTAAAAAAAAAAGCTAAATATTAATCTTATTAAGCAAAAAGCAACTTACATAAAATATGTTTCCTGTCCTAACTCTCTCAGTAATACAATATCATGTGTTAAAAAACTTATATATGTTATTGTTTTATTAGAGGGAAAATGACGGTGAACCTATTTCATATAAGTCATTTTCCATTAAAAGACAGTTCAAAAATCAAACTACCAAAAAAAACCTAACTATCGAGATTAACGCGTGCATTAGTGCATAACAAAAGAAAATTTATTTCCATTAAACATTATTAGCTAGAAAATAAAATTCCCGACAAGGACAATGGTGACCAAAGTGGTGCAGGTGCATTGCACCGTTGGTTCACATTAGTTCGGTGCACCGTACGAAAGATGCACAACTGCACCGGGAACAAATCCAGCAGAGTAAAAATCCTGCGACATTTCTCTGATCACCTGCTTCGGCGGAGCAGTAAATAAGTAAAACGGTAACTCCGGTCGAGCACCAACTTTCCTCAGGTAATCGACCAAGCTCTGAATTTTATCCGACGGGTGAAAAGTTGCCTCCACTGTGCGATTATCCGGAAACCGAACCCTAATCACCGCCCTTGTCATCTTCGACCTGCGTTTTGCGTCCTCTGCCTCTCTAATCTTCTGCGTTTTGAGGAACTTGTCTTCTTTCTGCCGCGTGCGTTGAATGCGGTAGTAGTCCTCTGGGGTGAAGTCGTAGAATTCGTCTGCGCTCTCCTCGATATTGGCCATGCAATCGATGCTGGCGATGTGATCGACGGCGCCGATGAGCCGCCTTCGTTTGAAGGATCCCGCGGAGGAAACGTCAACCGTCATCGTGAGAATTCTGGGATTCGCGACGGCGATCAAATTGGAGAAGAAGAAGATGAAAAATTATCGGACGGAATTTTGCGACTGTGCGACTGTGCGACTTGTATTTATACACTATTGATTTTGCTATCCATTTAAATTTGGGACGAGTTTTTCAAGTTTTACTTTCGTATCCCGTTTGGAATAGGAATTCCCTTTTCTTTTTTAATTGTTTAATTGACATCCCACAATTTCTTGAAAATTCCAACTTTATCCTTTAATGTACCATATCGATTTTGGGACATTTTTTTGTGTGTGTCAAACGGTATTAGTATGGTAGTTCTACCGAACCTAAGATATTTAGTTTAGTATTGGTATTCAAAATCTATAGCTAACGGTATTACCGTATCATATCAAATATATATAAATATTAAATACTTGTATATAAATAGTTGATGGCGGATCTGTGATACCACGAATCCGCCCTAATCTAATAATACTAATTACTAACTTTGATCTTTATATATTTGATTTAATTTGCAACTTGAAGTATTTAAGTTCAATTTGATTCGGTTTGTAATCCAAACTTTTGCTCCTTAATGCATGTTTTGACTTACGAAATATGTCTAAATAATTATGTCTAAATAATGATGAATGATGAATCTTGGTTGTAGGATATAGGTATATTAGATTATTTGGAAAATTAAAGATTGTTGCAGAATATTTATTTATGTCTGTCTACTAATGGGTGTAACTGTTGTAAGCTTGAGGCCATTGATTCCTCAAATGAATAAGTAATTCATTCTTCGATTGATTAGACAATTGATTCTCTTTATTGAATTACAAGTTATTTATGTAATTTGACAGAATAGCCACACCATTATTTAAGGGTGATTATGCCTCACATTGGAACACACTAAGAAATTCTCTAACACTATGTTTGGATGAGGAAAATAAACTTGGAATTTGGATAAAAGTCAGAATTCATAAATTGACATGTACCAATTCCCTTGTTTGGATTTATAATATAGAAATTTAGAATTTCTGCGTGGAAAAAAAACTTGGAATTTGAGGCCTCCAATTTCCAAGTTTAAATTCTATGTAAATAAGTGTCATTTCCCAATTTCTATGATTGAGAGTTTAAAATTAACAAATTCTATTTTCAATTTCATTGTTTTTTTAAGTTAACCAAACAACAAAATTCGCAAATTCTAAAATATAAAATCCCTTCATTTCAATTTCCATCATTTTAAAATTCTTTAGTAATCTTAAATTTCTTCATCCAAACATAGTGTAATAGAATTCTCTCATTCTCTCTCAAATTCCTCTACAACGAAGATGGTATTAGGTTTCATCTTAATATGTGGGCTACTTGCATGAAAAAAAAAGAAGCAAAAGACATTTTGGGCCCAAAAAAATAAAACTCAACTGGTACGATACCATTCCATGTCATGCCAAATGAATAGAAATTTGGAATGTTAATAGTACTAAATTTTGTCTTATCGGAAGTTTAGTATGATAATTGAAAGAAAGAATTTTAATACAGTAATCGTACTAAACTCACCCTTTATTAAGCATTTCTTTGATTGAGTGGGCAACTAATTAAGTATTTTTCAATTATTTACACGTGAAGTGGTTTATTGATGTGGACTAGAACAATTGATAGGCGATGAGTTGTTTCTCATAAATTTAAAGTACATATAATATATATATTTTTTAATAAAAAAACATGTTTCCTTATAAGAATGAAAAAAATAATGAATCTAATAACTCAAGAATATGAAAAAGTAAGGAACTGGTATGGGCAAAATAAATATTCACATTAATCTGTTTACTGTTCATATAACAACTAAATATTAATGGAGTTGAATCTCGCCATTATTGTTTACTAATTCTAATAAATCAAAACATAAACCAACCTTTTTAACTTAACTTGATTACTAATTGCTATATTCAACGGTGGAATCGTGACATGTTCTTCTCAATGGGTAAATGTCTACTCAGAAGAAGTCATGAATTTTAAATCATTCATTTTCTTCTCATTTCCATTCCTTAAAACGTTTAGTACAGTTTTCTCAATTGATCCAGGTAATTCTATTTTTTTGTTTTGTTTCTTCTAACTGGATTTTACACTAATGAATAATGATTTGTGTTAAGTAACATAATTCTGCTATAATAATATAGTTTAGAATTAATTAATTATGAGAGTCGAACATATAATCTCTCACTTACAATAAAAAAACACTAAAAGTATTTGTAACATACAAACCCGACTTTTAAACCTTTCGTCAATTATGTTACACATGTGAAGTGGTAGTTACATAGGTAGGACAAAAGAAGAGAAATGATTTTCTACACCGATCGTTAGAGAAAAGAATAGTACACTCCGTAAATCCTTTTTTCCTTCGCATAATTCTTCATTAATTTCAAATGAAACAAACGAAGAGTAGGATAAAAATTAACAGGAGGGGTGTGTTGGTTAGTAACACCTAAGTGCGATGATTGCATAACGTGGCACAAAAAAGGTGACATTTCATAGCGCGGCATGTGGTTTAATATCCTGAGAGCGATGATTGCAAGAGTGAAAGCCAAAGCCTCGTGACCACCCTCCCTTCCCGTCTATTATTTGCAGTGGCGTTCGTATCCGTACCCCATCAGCCATGTAAATGTACACCCAGCCACCGACCACTCTTGGCCCCCCGCGCCCCTCCTCTTTCTCTCACTCAATTCTCAACCGACATTCCAACCCCCTCTCTCTTTCCTCCTCCTCTTCTTCTTCCTCACTTCAAGACCCCAATAATCTCAATCCCTCTCTCTCTCTCTCTCTCTCTCCTGCACAAAGGTGACTCCTCCTCCTTGTTTCTTCTCTACTTTCCGTTTTTCTTTTCCCCTGTTTTGTAGAATTTCCCGGGAACTAAACAGATTGTTCTCCCAACTCCCGTTTCACTTCCCAATTGCCGCCGCCTTATTCCGTTTAGTTGCGTGGAGTGCACGTTTTTATACAATTGTTATGCAGTTTTATTTTCTGTATTAAAATGTGATGTAATTTCTTTTCCCGAAGCGGAGTTTGGCTTTCACAAATTTGAATTTTTGATTCGGGAAAGTGGGAAATGATTGTTTGGTTGTGTAAATTTCGTTTCTTTTTGCATAACTGAAGTTTATTTATTGTTGTTAAGACCCTAGTGCTTGGAAATTCTGACGAAAATTTTGGATTTTCCGTTTGATTTTGAAGGAATTACACGAACTGGTGAAAATGGCGGCTACCCAATTCAGAAGTGGCGCCCTTTCTAACGGATTAACCGCCGGATCCAGTGACGGTAACCCGATAACTCGAAAGTCCAGGTTTTTTAATCCATTGCACACAAGGGAAGATAGTAATATTGTAGCAAGAAGTGGTAGGAAGGATTTGAGCAATGCCAATGCTGTGGGGGGATGTAATCTGTCTGCCTCACGCAGACCACTGTGCTTGCCGCTAGTGACACGCCGCAGAAGACCCTGTTTTCCGGGGGCGGCGAACCAGTTGAGTTCGGATTTGGGTGTGGGATCCTCTGAGGTTGAAGGGAAGTTGGCTTTACTAGAAGAGGAAGCTCCCATAAGTGGGGGGACTGGTGACCTGTAAGACCTTATGGCCTACAGTAACTTGTTATGTGTAAATTTTTTGTTGCTTTAGCTCATTGAAATGCTGCTTTTATTGTTCTTGTACTTTTTTTTTCTTGATTGATGCTCTTATTTTATTATTTTTATATAATTCTTTTAAAAATTTAACATGAAATAGGCGCGTTAATGGAGTTGCATGTTGCTTTTTCTGTAAAATACTTGGTACTGATCTGTCTAAGTTGAACGCCGCCTTTTACTTGCCAAGAGATTCATATGTTTGTTTTCTAAATTGATAGAGTGGGTGGTAACTGAGCATGAAAGCTTTAGATAAATTTTTCTACTTTTGTTGGAAGCCTCCCAATCCCTTCATCTTCTAGTCCCTCCCTTCGTATGTGGTTATTGATTTATAAGTGCATGCAAGCTAATTTTGTTTATATTCACTCGATCTTGATGTATGAAGCTTATATGAGAAATATTACTATCAAAAGCTTTCGGGAATTGTCTATTTCAGCGAGAGTCTGAAATTGTTATTATTATACTTAGTTTTTAGGTGATGGGGGGTTATCTTAAACATTGTTTTTTGTTTGTCATTCCTATCAGTGAAACATATTCTGCAGATATCAAACGCGAGCTGTTGATGCTTTCTTTACCTGCAATTCTGGGTCAGGCCATTGATCCATTAGCACAACTAATGGAGACTGCGTACATTGGCAATTTGGGTTTGTTTCACTCCTTTAAACGTGTTCAATGACTAATAACCGTATAATTGATTTAAATTTGAGCTCTTTACTTATTTTGCTTTGTTTTTCCACAGGTTCCGTGGAATTGGCTTCAGCTGGTATTTCAATGAACATCTTTAATTATATCTCAAAGATATTTAATATCCCTCTCCTCAGTGTTGCTACTTCTTTTGTTGCTGAAGACCTTGCTAAGAGTGAAAGCAAAAGATCTACTTCAGGTAAAGTTAAACTTTTGTTTTACTTCCCTGCTCATTGTTGTTGTACACATTTGGTCAGTCTTTACGTCTAAAGTAGAGCAGAGATCACTTAACATTTTTTTTTTTCACAATCTGATTTCTTCTAATTGTCGTACAGAAAATGGTTTTCTAGATGGCAATATTAATGGTAAACCAAAACCTGTTGATGGAGTTGTTGAGAGAAAGCAGCTATCTTCAGTGTCTACAGCTTTATTGTTAGCAGTTGGGATTGGAATTTTTGAGGCCGTGGCCCTGTCTATGGGATCTGGGTTGTTTCTAAATATGATGGGCATATCATCAGTAGGTTACCTGATCCAAAATTACATTTCATACTGATTTGTTTGTCTGCTTTTTCTTATATCTTTTTACATAAATGTACAAACTTTCCTTCTTTTTTTTTTTTGTATACATTCTTTGGAGGATTTTAGAGAAGAAAGGAGTACGAATAGCATATATCCAAGCTATACAGGATATGTATGAAGGAGCAAAGACTGTCGTAAAAACTCATGAAGGACAAACCGAAAGCTTTCCCATAACTGAAGGATTACATCAAGGCTCATCCTTAAGTCCTTACTTTTTTGCGTTGGTAATGGATGAGTTAACAGGACATAT